GACCTTGCGCTTGCCAGGCAGGCGCTTTTGCCGCTGAGCTAAATCCCCAGCCCCGGATTTTTTTATATTGATTTTCATATATCCTACAAATAGTTTTTTGGCCCTTGGGGCATTTCCATGTATTCTCAGCTCTCATAATTATTCATTTTCCTCTTCCTTTGCATATAAGTGCTTGTGTATAAATAAGCAGACAGAGTTTTCCTTTTATTTCCAATTAGTTTTCTATTTGTCATTTTACAGCTAACACTAATAATGCATTAGTTTGTTCATGGTGATTCTAAAACAGTAATTATATTATCCTATTTTGTAGGAGGGAAGGTATATAAATGCATAGAATAAGAGATGGAGGACATGGATCACAACTTTTTTTTTGGTACCAGGAATTGAATTCAGAACCTTGCACTTGCCCGGCAGGCACTTGTGCTGCTGAGCTATATCCCTAGCCTGATCACAACTTTTTTGTTTGTTTGGATTTTGGTTTGGATACTGGAGATCAAACCCAGAAGTGCCCTACCATTGAGCTACATCCCCAGCCCTTTTTTTAAACTTGAGACCAGGTCTAACTAAGTTGTCCTTCTGGGGCTCAAAATTGTGATCCTCCTGCCTCTGCTGCCCTCAGAGCTATGATTACTGACATATACCATTATGCCTGGCTCATAGATCACAATTTTAATTGTTTATTAAGAAAAGGTGCATAGAAGGTCTACATTTTAAGCCTTACTAAAAATATATATAATGTAATACTTTACAGTTGTTAAAATCATTATGGTAATCTGTGTTTTCATGGAAAGGTAATGATGATTATGTTATAATAAAAGCAGTTCTATTTTATCGGGATTTGTCAAATGCTTTAGCTTAAAATATATACACAAACTATTATCAATGATTATGTCTAAATGGTAAGATTTAAGCATATTTTTATTTCCTTTTGGTTCAACTTTATTTTCAGTTTTGATTATGATCATGTGTTCTTTCCTTGTTTTTGTTAGAGAGAAAGAAAAAAATAAAGAAGTAGGAACAGAAAACTTCAATGAAAAGTGAACCTAAGTTGAATTTAACTTAGAAAATAAGTCTGAATATTAATATTTTCTATGGGAATTCAACATGACTTGGTCAGAAGTAGTTTAGTTAATATGACAGTCTGACTGAAAAGTAATATTATTAGTCACTACTTTCTTAAAAGTGTTAACTTTATAATACTCTGTACATCTTTAAATACCTTCGACAATTCTCAGAAAGGTGAAGTGACGCCCTCTATTTTTTTATTTTCAGTTAATTTTCAGACAAATGTTTCTGCAGTTAGGTGACACAACTATAAAAAGTTGTGTAAACTAAAGTCAAATAATGGAAAATTAATTGCAAAAATCTAAGTATCATTTATTTCTGCGGATAGCCATAAAAATATAGCTAATCTAGTAATGAAGGTATAATTAGCATAAGGTGCATAATATAAAAATTTTAAAAATAAATACCTCCCATCTCTTAGATCCTTTTCTTTTAGAATTTCTTGTATTTTTCACCCAACTAAAAGAGTGATACATCTTTTTTATTATAGAAAAGTTAAAAATATGGAAAAGCAAAAGAAAGATGTCCCTCACCTTTTCTTGTTCAGGAAGAACTCACTGAAAAAAAGGATTAGTCTGTAGCTACCACTTTAGAAAAACTTGTAATATAAGCAGTTACCATTGCTTTGTTGTGAATTTCTGTTTGCACATTTATATTTCCAACCTGCTGACCATATAGCTCCTTAAGGACAGGTTATTCATCTTTTTTTTTTTTTTTTTTTTTTTTCTCCGGTACC